ACCCCTGCCTCGGCCCCAGCTGCACCAGCCTGCAGCCTGAGCCCTGGGCCTGCCCCAGGTGACAGTGGTGGCCCTAGGGCACAGCTCACCTGCAGCGTGGTAGAGCGGGAGGCAGTCGTACATCACGTCGTCCGGCCTCATGCGGAAACCGTAAAAAACCAAGCTGGCCATGCGGAAATACCTGGGGCAGGGGGGTGAAGGGACCTGTCAGCAGCAGGGCCAGAGGAGCTCTGCTAGCACAGGGCACAGCTCAGCCCCATGTCTCCCCCCACCAGCCCCTGCCCATGGCCTTACCGGCAGTTCACCACAATGGCAGCCTTGGGCAGCCCCGTCGTGCCAGAGGTGTAGATGTAGAAGAGTTTATCTGGAAAGTAACGAGGAGTCAAAGTCCCACACCCAGTCTAGGAGCTGGCTGAACTGGGAGAGGGGGGCAAGCCAAATTTACAGTCTCTGCTCGTGCCAGTTGAGCTCAAAATTTTATGCAACAGCACCAAGAACGTGCTGGGTTCACCCCACGCAGGTCGGGTCTTCTGGACACACGGAGGGTACTGCAGGAAACTGCTCCACACGGACTAGCCCTTCAGACACCAGGGTAAGACCCATCCCAAATCCCCCAGGCCCTGCTGCAGACATCTGTCATCAGCATCCCGAGCAGATGTTCTTGCCAGTGTTGTAACTGGCTGATCCACAAAACCACCAGCAGCCTGGCACCCAAGAGCTGATCACATACCGAGAAAGCCCTTATTGGGGGGGGTCGGTGGGTGCCGCTGGGCCATCTGCAGGAGGGGGTCCAAGTGTTTTGCACCAGGAAGAGTAGACTTGGGGCTTCCTTCCCCAGACCAGAAGAGGTGAACAGATTTCTCCAGGGAGGGCTGCACTTCCTGCATTGCTGAGAAAGTAAAAAAGGGGAGATAGAGAATGACTGCGGGATAGTTACAGCACAGAGACCACCCCTCTGCCCTCCCAGACACTGCCCCAGGTAGCAGTACCCTGGCTGTACTCAGCAGAGACCCCAAAGGGCTGATAACCATCCCAGATGGATGTCATTCCCACAATTAACAGATGCGAGGGCCACAGCCCAGGCCTCTACAGGGACTAGAAGATCCTGTTCTCCACCTCTTCACAGCCAAAACCTCTTTGGTGCCAAGAGATCTATTGACACCATCAACCTCAGAGGTGTGGGCTGAAACACGTGAGGAGCTGGAGCTGAGGAGTTGCAGGGATTTGTTGACAGCCATGAAGAGCAAGGGGAGGCTCATCTTGTGCAGAGGGGCAGGACCAGCCCAGGGCTCCAGGCAGGGGATGGACCTGAGAGGCACAAGGGAAGATCCTCACTCCCAGGCTGGTCTGCTTGGGATCCAACCAGCACTGCACTCCAGACCTTGCCCAGTGGCCAAAGAGACCAAACAAGAAAAAAACCAACAGATCCAATTCCTGAACAATTAAACTGCTCACTCTCTTCCAGATCCCTGCTCAGTAGCAGGCAGGAAAGAAGCACCAATCCATATACATGTCCTTCCCCCCAGTCCAGAGCACCTCTGACGCATCTGCCTGCCCCTCACCTTCCATCATCTCCACCCCAAAAATCACAGCCTTGGAGCTGGAGATGGTGATGCAGTGCAGCAGGGCCTCCATGCGCAGGTGGGAATTCACAAGGGCAGTCTCCACCCCAACCTTGGCCAAGCCGAGCCACAGCCCCACGTACTGCTGGCGGGACTCCATGAAGAGAGCCACCACGTCACCGGAGCGGAAGCCTTGCCCGTAGAAGAAATTGGCCACCTGGTTGGAGTACTCGTCCAGCTGCCGGAAGGTCCAGCTCTCGCCTGTGCCTTGGAAGATCAGTGCTGTCTTCTCTGGGTACTTGCTTGCAGTCTTCTGGAAGATCTTGGCAATTGTGTTCTTCTCCCTCACGTGCCTCCATACCTGCCACTTCACCTGCAACAGGACCAGCCCCGTGCTGCCAAAGGAAGGAGAGCAAGAGGGCAACTGCTCAGTGACCCCTCCAACAAACCACTTCCTCCAGCAAAGCCTGCACAGCACAAAGACCTTGCCAGGAGCTGCAACAGACCAGCACTGCTCCAGGCCAGCAGCAGCTCTGGGTGCTCTCCTGAGCTGTATGGACATAGGCAAAGGTCCTCTGCAAAGGAACTTACAGCCTGATGGGAGATCAAAGAGAAATGTTTTGGAAGGCTGCACACAGGGATGTCCTCTGAACAAAGGAGCATCTTTGAGCCTCAGAGACTCTCCAAGAGGTGCCATGTCTCCCTCCCTGCAAATGATTGCCAGGAGCTGGCACAGCCTGGTACTAACTCAGAACTGACCCTGCGGAGGCACCTGGTGCCACGCCAGCAGCTTTAGGGACAGGGTGAAGTACAAGGACAATCACCAGACTACAGAGCTCAGCTGAAATCTATCTTTCCTGTGAAAACTTTGGCCAAGAGTTTGGAGCCACCCAGGCGGGGATGAGGGAGATCTCCTTCCATCTGGGCAGGGTGCCAGCAGAAGCCCAGGGCTGTGCAAGGAGCTGGGGGCTGCACTCACACACAGACACTGGGGCAGGGCAGGAGGCCAGGGGGAGGGTAGATGGTCAGGACATCCCAGCCAGGACACCTACGTGACATCCCTTCGTATCGTCTTGATGAATATGAGGAAGAAGTCCCATCCGCCAGATCCCAGGTAGATGATGAAGAGGATGGGGATGGCCTGGGCCCAGGACATCTCCAGACTGACCCTGAAGAACAGCAGCAGCACTGCGAATGCAGCCAGACGCAGCATTGTGGCCTGTGCAGGGAGAGAGAGAAACCACGGGCATCAACCCACACACACTGGGCTTGGTGATAACAAACCCACGGGCAAGGGGTGTGTTAGCAGCCCCCAGTTTCCTGGATGAGGTCCCTGACTCCCTGCTCCTTCTGGCAGCAAGGATGTAACCCAGCAGCCCAGAGCTCCCACGGATTAACTTTACCGGACCTTGCAGATGGCCTCCAATTAAGCTGCCAGCATGGCACTGCTCAGTGCCAGCGGCGTGCCCGGCCATTCCCACCTGCAGAGCCACTACCCTGCACACCAGCCAGGGGCACAGCTGGGCCTCAGCAGCATGAGATGCAGGATAAAGCCACTTCATGGATTTGGGAGTGAAGTCACAGCAGGAGAACTTGTACAGATGTTTGGCAGGCACCAGGGCAATGGCAGGCAGGGCTGGCTCAGCCACTCCCAGCTTCAAATTTCTCCCTACCCCAAAGATCCCTCTGTGCCCATAACCCAGGTCTCTCAGACCCCCAGCACCATCTCTCCTGCACACCTGGCTCTGGGACAGCCAGCACAGCAGGGGGGGAGATCACAGCTTCACATGCTCCCCGACACAGCTCAGACAGGAACAGGGACAGGAAACTCAGTACTTTGAGCTCTGCTCATGTTTGCAAATCGTGGTGCTCTTGGGCAGCTTCCTGGCCTGGCTCTGCTGGGGACACTGCCAGAGAAGGCTGGGGTCAAGGCAAGGCACAGGGATGTCCTGGCCAGGCTGCAGTGGGCAGAACAAGGGCTGACAGGAGCTCTCAGACCCCTTTCCCATGGCCTGTGGGTGGCAACTCAGTCTCTGGTTCCTGTCTCTTCAAAACAGCACCTCTGTCTCTATCCCAAACACACCCCAGATGTGGCTCCAAGACTTGCAGGGGACAAGGAACAGCAAAGGCTCTTTTTGGCTGGCAGCATCAGGCAGAGGAAAGTAACAGTGATGTGCCCTGACAGCTCAAGGGCTCCTAGATAAAACTGGTCCTTCCTGGCATGGACAGAGGAGGAAGAGGAAGGAAACACTCATGTCACTTCCCTTTCCCTCTTGAGCGTGGATTCACTGCTCCAAAGCTGGCAGCCCTGGGTGCACTCTGCCACAGCCAGTGGGGCTGGGAGCCCTGCTTGCATGTCTACCCTCTGCTCTGTGCAGCTCCCCCAGGCCCAGGGTGCCTCGTGGATTAGGTACAAGATGCCAGCAGGGTGGTAGCCATGGCAGTGCCACCTGGTCACCGTGCCCTGGCATGTCACACAGGCTGTGTCCCCTCCAAGCCATGCCAACAGCAACAGGCAGAGGGATGCACCAGAGCACAGGATGCCCCTCCTGGCTGGGGGTCTGGGAACAGGTCCCTTGTGCAAAGCCCAGAGATCCCTCTGAGCTCTCTCCACCAAACACCTCCTAGGCCTGAGGTCCCACAACACAGCTCCTCGGCCTTTCAGCAGGGCAGGACCTGCTGCATTTTTGCCAAGGAGCCTCTCTCCGCAGTTAAACGAAGCAGCTGGTAGATCACCACCAACCTACTAACCCTGAGCCACGGCCCGAGCCCCAGATCACACACTCACATCAAACTGACAGACGTGGAGATCCAGTGGTGGAGGAGCCACACTCTGTGTGGGCAACAAGGTGCTTAATCTCTCACTTGCAGGCAAGACAGGCCCAGACAGGCCACTGTTATCCTCTGCTTACATCTCTGCCTCTCATGGGTGAGAGATGATCGAGAGATAACCGGTGCAACACTGCCAGAGACCTCCAGCCCTGCCGTTAAAGATTCAGGTCTTGTCGAGCTGCATCGGCACAGAGAAAATAAAGCCCTGCCCGTGTCTCCGGAGCCAGAGGGCATGGAGGGAAACGGCAGGGATCACCCCCGGGGGAACGGAGGCCCGAGGAGAGGGACCAGCCTGGGGAGCAGGTGGCAGGAGGGATGGGGGCAGGTGACGGGGCTCCAAGAAGCACCCCTGGCCATGCTCCACGGGTGGGGAGCTCCCCAGAGACATCTTTCCGGCGTGAGAAGTCAGGAAGGCACCCGTGTGTCCCCCCGCCCCAACCTCGGGCCTGGGAAGGGTAACGAGCCCCTCGGCCCCGGGGAAGGACGGGGAGGGCAAAGCGGGAGAACACGGGGCCGGGGGGCTCATCCCCAGCTCCACCTGAGGGGGAAGGAGAAGCGGGAGGCCCAGCACGGCCTCGCACCGGGGCTGCAGCCGGGACC